AAAATCAAACAGAGCATCAGCTCAATTAAATAATGTGGTTTGTTATGTAGGACCATGGTGGAAGTGGAGCTAATTAAAACCAAGTCAGAGGAGAGGAACTTCCTAATTCTCCTATTAATTCATCCAGAGCCACCTCCATTTAATTGTTTTCTCCCTTTCCTTTGCTAACTCCCTGGTGGAAGGGAGGAGGACAGAGGCTGTGTACTCCTGAAAGCTTGTAGTTTCTGCAGGGCAGGTCCCTAATGGGTGCTCATTATAGTGAAAGAAGGTAAGAAGAGACATGTATGCCCCCCACCCCATTCCCAAGGTCCCGCAATACAGGGAACATATGCAAATGGAGACTCATCAAGTCAGTTAAGGAGGTGTGTTGCTCTGAAGTCTGTTAAATCCACTGTTGTTCCATTAGCCTGTTTGCATCCATACAAGAGTCTAGGGAGATAGCAAGTCAACTTTCACAGAGGAGAAAAACCAAAGTCCAGGGAAATTTGAGTCTGGCTCAGGATTTCCTGACCAGAAGCTGGACTGGAATCTGGGTCTCCTCCTTCCTCGGCCAGAACTCTGATGCCCCGAGAGGTGATTTCCTGGCCATGGGCTTCTCTCTTCCCTCAGCCTCTGGGTTTTAAGGGAACTAGGATGGGCCTTTTGGCACTAACAGCCTCCCCACCACTCCTACAGGAAAGCTGGAGCCCCTAATTGTGGGAGTTGGGGGGGCAAGAAGGAAGGGGCACAGTTGGATCTGACTGCAGTGATGACCACAAGGTGCAATAAGTGGACCCCAGTGAGGGAGGGGTGGGCACAGTGCTCTCAGCTAACAAACGCCTTTTACACTAGCTGCCCAGCTGGGTTCTTTTGTATTCGGAGCAGGAGGGGGAGTTTTTTGTTTTTGTTTTTGTTTTTGTTTTATTTTAAGTGCAGCTGCTTTAGCAAAAGCTGTGAAGACAAGAGTCCACCATGGGGAATGATTTCTGGCTGTAGAACTTGAGACAGGGATGGGAAGGGAGCCCTGATATCCAGGCGGCTTTCACCCATTGGATTGTATATGTCTGCCTTCCGTGCCTGCCCAGGTATGGCTCAGCGCAGGCTGGCCTCACGTTCAGACCTCTTTTAGGAGAGCAGTGTATTTGTTCTGTTTGCTTGTTTTGTTTTTGTTTCTGTCTCCATCCAAAAAAAGCTGTTTTCACTTGTGAGGGTTCTTACCCGTTCGGTATGTTTTTTTACAAAAACATGTACAGACGATGCGGAAGTATATAAAGAAAACAGTTAATGACCTCTATCATGCACACATACCCACATGTCTTCCTTCCTTTTGAATTCCCAGAGTTACCCTATTAGCAGTTTTGTGTGTATGATTCCAGCTGAAAGACACACACAGATACAAACACATGTGCACGTGTGCACACATTTTTTAACAAGAATAGCATAGTAGTACACGGGCTGTTCTGCAACTTTTTTCATTCAAGAATGTGTCCAGACGTGTTTCTATTTCAGTATATAAGAATCCACTTGATTCTTTTTAGTTGGCCTCTGATATTCTTTTTTAAAGATTTTATTTATTTATTTGAGAGAGAGAGAAGGAGAGAGTATAGAGGGAGGGGGAGAAGCAGCCTCCCTGCTGAGCAGGGAGACAGATAGGGGACTGAATCCTGGGACCCCAAGATGCTTAACCGACTGAGCCACCCAGGCACCCCTGGTGTCTAATATTCTAAAATATGCATATACTGTATTTTATTTACCAGTTCCCTTATCAAGGGACATTTAGGTTGGCTTTTATATAATGAGGGTTTCTTTCCTATATAAGAGTCAACAACAAAAACACTTGAATATGTGTTGGTGTGTTTTTAGGAGTGTTTCCATAATCAAATTCCTTGAGTTGAAATTGCTTGGTCAAGTGGAACACGCACTTCAAATTTCCTAGGTATTGCCAGCTTGCCCTCCAAAAAGGCTCTGCCAGTTTTCACTCCCATCCATGGTACATGAGTGCAAGCAATGCTCTTTTTTTTTCTGGGATTTGACTGGAAGGCTTTGAAGATAGTTGTAGTTTACTTCTGTTGCTCTGAGTCCCATCCCAGAGCCTGTCACTTCCCCTGTGAATATAGAGGCTGGTAGGTTTGGTGAGAGCCGGAAGAGCAATACAACAAACACAAAACAAGAAAGAACACCACAACTGAGGGTAGGAGACCTGACTTCTAGGACCATCTCTCTGAGACATTGGACAAGCCACTTTAAACCTCTGGGTGTCCATTGGCTCATCTATGAAATGCAGTTCATAATTGCCACAATACACGTTGTGGTTGTTGAGAGGATCAAACAGGGAGGTGCGAAAGTGGTTTGTAACCCGAGAAGCAAGATACATATGCCAAGTGGTTATTCCTGTATGTGGTTATTATACCCTTAAATCAATGAGCTCAGAGAAGGAAACGGGAAAGTGGGAGTTGAGTGGGAAAAATTACACAGATGAAATCTTTAAGACATTCTCAGCTTCCCTGAAAGTTCCCAAGCAGTCTTCCTGTATTCTTGGTGAACAAACCACGTTGGTAGTAAAGATTGCTTTATGGTATCAAGAAGAATTGGGGCATCTGGGGGGCTCAGTGTGTTAAGCGTCTCACTGGGTTTCAGGTCAGGTCATGATCTCATGGGTCCCGAGATAGAGCCCCCTAGTCCAGTTCTGTGCTCAGTGAGAGTCTGCTTGAAGATTCTTTCCCTCTGCCCCTTCCCCAACTCTTGTGGGCTTACACATCTCCCTCCCCAGAATAAATAAATAAATCTTAAAAAAAAAAAGAAGGATATAGGTTGTTGCCCTTTCATGGGAACACTGAAGTCTCTTATGCTTTAATTTGTCGGGCACCTGATAGGATTTTGGCCCCATGCTACTTTCTATAATCACCAGTGAGAGAAGAAACACACACATGAAATGCTTAAATAACCATGTGCAGTGACTGCATAAAGAGCTCTGAGTTATAGCTGAGGTATAGGGGAGGATTAGAGTGAAATCAAATACCTTTTAATTACAATTTAAATCAATAGCCCAGAAGAACAAGTGAAATCATTAGCCAGAAAAAAATCCACTTTTATTTATTTCTTAAAAAATAAGAACGTTCTTATTCTTTAAAATAACCCAAATAAGTACATTTTATAAATCAGAGATGTAACATTAAGTATATGTTCATTCATTTAGGTCAGTGATTTTTAGATTACTTTTACCATGATGCAAAAACAAAAAAAAATCAATGTGATGAGCTACTTTCTTTAACCCCCAAGTTAATTAAAAAGATATCTGTAAAATCATTGAAAGCAGAACCCTCGTGATCTCAACCTATTCATCAGGGATTTGAGGAGGAGGGTGAAGAGTGTTTTTGTATTAGGAAGACAACCAGCAAGCACACACACACAAAACTATTTAAAATGCCTGATTAAAAAAAAAAACACACCGATCCAGTATACTTCTTTTTTTTTCTCAAGCAAATATGTATTTTAACTGAGCCAATGATACCATGTATCATATTAGAAAAAAACATGGGCCTTGGACTCAGATCTAGGTACAAATTCCAGCTCTGGGACTTCTTACAGTGTTCATATAATAGTCATGTATGCACAAATATATCTTTTAATTAAGGAAAATTTAAAAAAATGCAAAGTGATCCTTTAAAATATCTGAAGTATGTAGTTTACTTAGTCTTTGACTCTATCTTGCCTTATCCTAGGTTAGAAAGGTCTTCGTTGTTCTTTTTTCAACTTCCAGCATGATCATAATTTTAAATGAATTACTCCAAAGAGGTATCCCATTCTCTCATCTTCTCCAGATGTTGTCTCTGTGACTCTAGAGGACTGTTGTGTGACCTTTCCTAAAAGGAACTTAGCAAATATGTATTAGTTCACTCTCTGTCTTAAAACTTGTTTTGCTAGCATTATGGAGAAATGATGGCCAGATGTTATGGGGTGTTGAGTAAATTGGAGAAAAGTGTACTGTGGAGGGTCATAACCCATTTTGATTATTAAAGTATGTCAGGATATATTTGTCTTCATAAAAATAAGTTTGAAAGTGGAGAGGGAAAAATCACCCATAAACTTTTACCTGACCGTGATAATTTAATGTTCTCTTCTAATTATATCTGTGGGTGTATTTTACATCACTATAATTCAAAGGTACTCAGTACTTTGCATTCTTTGTCATTTTTTATGACAGTTTACTGTCTCCTTGCTGGGATTTACCGTAATTTATATAATCTAGCCAAATCCTTGGGGGGGGGTTATGGATTTCGAAGTAGCAAGAGATGATTTTTGGAGTTACATTTTAATTTTTGCACACGGGGGAAAATTTGAACTTTTTCTTAAAGATGAGAGGCCACGGAAGGTTTTAGGGAGAGCCACATTTTAATGAAATTAAATATATCTATATATCTATGTATCTTAACTAATTGAGGTAATTGATTGATTGTATAATGCTCCGTGTTTTGAAATGTGTATTTCACGGACAGAGAGTTTCCCTATCTAGCTTGTCATCTCTGAATGCCACTGCCATATCTGCCAGAGTCTACTGCGTAGTCCAGAGACTCCATCAGCATAACCTGTTGGCCTGACAGGTGGTGTCCCAAATCCAAACCATTTCCCCCAGTAAAGAGTGCCAGTGTAGCTGGACGGATTTCCTCCCCTGGAAATTTATCTGAAATTCCAGTCTGCCCAAGGGAGGCCAGTTAATGAAGATCCATAAAATGCCCCCGCCTCTCCAGGTGCGCCTCTCTCTTGATGGCCCCACCTCTGTCTAGACAACCCTGACAGTGTAGAAGTTTCCATCTCTTTTTCCTTTCCCTCTCTCTGTTCCCTCCCCTTCAGTTTTTTCCCCCCTCCCAGGCGCTTCCTGCCTGGAAACAAAAGATTGGTCCCCAGCAGCCCACTCAGGGCGATTTTAGTTTTCTGCTCACCCTCTGATTGGCCCGCGTGCGGTGCAGAGCCCGGGTGACGTCATAGCCGACAGGAGCTAGGGAGCGGTTGCCGAGCCGGGCTCTGCCGCGGGCGGGCAGCTGTCGGCAGCGCACCGTCTGGGGGCTCGCGCGGGGGGCTGCGGCTTTTCCCGGCCCTGAGCAGGTGTGCGAAGCCGGGAGGAGAGTCGGGGAGAGCGGGCCGGGCCCGGGGCTGCGGCTGCGGCTGCGGCCCCCCCAGCCCCGCCAGCCCGAGCGCTTGGAGGTAGAGAGGAAAGGTCTGGACAGGGTGGCTGGACCAGTGGCAGGTAAATCCCGCGACTCACGGCGCCCGGCTCGCTCAGGGAAGGGTGTGGCGCTGCTGGGCAGATTTTCAGCCTTTCCGGCCCCCCCCCACCCGCTCCTGTTCTCCCGGCGCCCCAGCTTCGGGTCCCTTTCGTGGCGCCCCCGGAGCCGGGAGACCCGGCACGCAGTTCTCTGGCTCGCGCTGGGCGGACGCGGACGAGTGGGTGTGTCAGGGCCACTCTCGGAGGGCCTGGACCCCGGTGCACTGGGGCAAGCCCTAGGCTCGCCAACTGGGGCCTGGGCCGCTGGAGGCCAAAGCCGCCCCCAAAGCAACGTCAGCCCGTTAGTCCTACAGTATTTTCCCGCCCCCTCCCCCAGCCACAGAAGCGACGGCAGTCCCCCCCCCCCCCCCCAAAAAAAAAAAAAAAAAAAAAAAAAACCACCAAGGGGAGGAGGTGTGGCCGTGGCCGGGACAAGTCCGGGGTAGGGGGAAGAGCCCAACCTGAGCAAACAGAAAAAGTGACGATTTTCTTCTATGGGGCGCCCTTTTATTCTTCTTTACCCTCCTCCCCTTATTTGGTCAGGGGAGGGTAATGACAGGACTACTCATTTCTTGTCATATGGAGGTTGGAATGATGCAGTACTATCCCTAAAAAGCCTGGGGCCCCTCTGTTGGCCTTTGTCTTGGCCGGGGAGAGAGGGCAGGGGTTACTAGGGGTCATTAGGTCCACGGCCCCCCTACCCTCTCCTCAGCCTTTCTCTCAGTTTGTGAACTGGCTCTGGCGAGATGACTGCCACACTTTGGGGTGGATTGAACATTTTAGATTCTTGCTCTGGCAGGTTTTCCTTCCCTGGGTGGTGGTTGAGAGTCCAGGTGTGAGGGCGGTGCCAGCAGGGAGAGAGCCAAAGGCCCCACTTGATTTTTTGGTCCCACCTTCCAGAATCCAGTGGCAGACTCTGGACTTGAGGGTTCTAGGCTGTGGTCTGTAGAAGCAGAAGAGAGAAGGGTGAGTGGCTTGGCTTGGGGAAGCATGAAAGGGGGGGGTGGTTGCAGTGTTATTATTATTTTTTTTAATGGCTTTCAGCAGGGAAGCCTTTAGCCATGTTAGTCTTGCTCCCCCCATGGTTTTGCAGACTCAAATCCAGGCCAACTGTATGGCTGTCTGAGGTGTTGGAACAGAAGGAAGTCCATTCCCGTTGGTGACAACACTGTGGCCCTGTTCTGGGATGACCGAGGTATAAAGGTCAGTGTGGTTTTCACCGGGCCATTTGCAAAATTGTAATTGGGCAGGTCTGTGATTTGGTACTTGAGGCCTCTAACCAGGGACACCTTTGGGTAAAGGGGCTTAATCTGGTAATGGATGACTAAGAGGCCAGGGCTTAGAGGGAGAGTTGTGTCAGCCTCCGTTTCTGGATACAAATGTCATACTTCCCTCCTCCATGAAAAAGGCAAAATGAGAAGAGATGGGCATGAATGCTGGGTAAAAGCCAGCAGCTGAGAATCTTGAGGCCAGAGGGACCTTGCAGTGTCAAAGAGTGGACTCTCCAAGCCTCCAGGCAGGCAAGTGGGCCTTGTAGGAGAAACTGAACAGGAAATGGAAGGGTCATTTGTAATACAGCTGCAGGAAAAGGGGCCACAACACCCCAAAGGCTCCGACCATTGCTGCAGGTTACAGGTTGTCTGGTTAGAGGCCGAACTGGCATACTAAGCAAACAAGCATGCTGAGGTCTTTGGGGGAGAAGGTGGTAGACGTGACAAGCAAGAAAAATGAGGAATAACTGAGGGGGGGAGATGAGGGGTGCCGCCCCGATCAGAGACTCTGCTATTGTGAGGTCAGAGGCGAAGCTACTGTGAGGTCAAAGAGGGTGGCCAAGGCAAAAGAAATCAGGGCTAGAAGTCTAGACGCAGGTAAGCTCAGATGGAGCTGGTAGGAACAAAGCCATAGAGAGATAGAACAAGAAGAAAGCGATGGTCTTTTTTTTTTTTTTTATAAACATATAATGTATTTTTATCCCCAGGGGTACAGGTCTGTGAATCGCCAGGCTTACATACTTCATAGCACTCACCATAGCACATACCTTCCCCAATATCCATAAGAAAGCGATGGTCTTAACCAGGAGCCCTAAGGCCCCGATTTTCCTGGTGAGATGGAGAAATGGTGGTTGTCCAGGCACGTGTGGCTCAGCCCAGACTTAGGGGGACAATTTCTTGATATTTAGGGATTCTAGCATTTCCATCCATGTAACCTGCCTTCAGGAGCTAGTAGCTTTGGTCATAGGAAGGAGAAGAAACTCCATGAACAGCAGACTCCACAATGGCTCTTTCCTCCTGGGTAAGGAGAAGGAAGAGCAGGGGGCAGGCTCCCAAAGGAGATTGCAGGGGGAGCTTCATATCCCCCCAAGATAGGTAGGTTGACTGTTTTTTACAACGGGAGGGCCAAGGCCGGGTCTGGGATCCCTGCTGCAGGCATGGGTGTCTGCCCGAGCTCCAAAAATGCCCTTCTTCCCCGGGGCCCATGGGACTCTGTGTAGGTGAGGAATGGTGAAAACTCCTGTCCTAGAAGGTAAGTGCCGCTGTTGAGGCTTCTGGGGCTCCCTGTTGTCCCCCAAGCTCCCCACCTGCCAGAGGCTAGGCGGTTCCCTCTGCAAGGCCTTGGGGTGGACTTCCCTGCCAACTCCACACTCTGCAGCTTCTCCAGCAGGGGGCAGGAAAGGACGTGCAGCAGCGGGCAGGGCCAGAGTCCTCCATTTCCAGTGTGAAACTGGAACCTTGGGATCAAGTAATAGCCATACGTTTAAAATCTGATTGAGGGGTACCAGAGAACCAAAGGAACCCCTGGAGTCTGGTGGTCTATTTCCATTCCCTCCTGAAATGTGTCACTTCCTCCTGTGCCCCAGGACCTTGGAAGGCATTTGCGTTTACATACAGCTCAGTGATTACTCTGGACACTAATACACACAGCCTCACCCAGAGTTTAATTGGAAATGTTAATCAGTACAATGGATCCATGTCTGATTTGCACATTCGGTCAATTATCTGCAGGTTGGGGCAATCTGTGCTACACCCATGGGACGTGGTGAGGGCAAAATGGCATAGCTATCTGCTGGGTCTGCGGGTGGGAAGCAAAATGGGGGAGGTGGACCTGGAAGACTGGAAAGAGGAACAGTTCACTGGTGGGGAATGGGGACCATTCCTAAGGTGTGGTCACAGCAGAGCCTGGGCGGGAGATCACTGAGACAGAATAAGAATAGGACCATCTTGGAGCCCACACAGCAGGGAGGGAGGACAGGGTTTTGCCCTGAGCTGGGAAGATGCTGGATTTGGAGAAGGAAGGTGTTTTAGAGACTAGAGGACACGGAGCTGGGGTGGAACCAACCCTGGAAGCCAGGACTGGGGTGTTGTGGTCTGCTTCTGCCCCTCTCCGAGCCTTAGTCTCCTTGTCTTTTGAATGATGGGATTGGATGAGGTGGTTTCTGAGATGGTCATGACATTTTAGGAAGTGGGTCCATTTGTTCTTGGTCATGAAGCAGATCTACCATAGGACAACATCCCCAGCCCCCCCCCAAAATTTACCCTTTTAAACACACTTTTTGGTATGCCCTCCGATTTGGGGGAAAAGAGTACAAAACAAACCCCCAGCCACTATATACATTTCATCTCTTTGAGCAGCATTGTTTTATTTTTATTTCATGTGAATGGGAAACAGGAGGGAGAAGAGAAGCCCAAGTGGAGAATCTGCTAGAGACCCTAAAACCAAGCTCCTGAGAAGCTCTGTAGGGATTTTATACAAATCTTACACAGCTGGGTGGAGGCTGATAGGCATTCGTGGCGCCAACTCCCTAACTCAGCCTCAGAACTGAAGGGCCTGGGATGAGGGTGAAGGAAGGCCTGCTTAGGGTGTCTATCCTTCTCCTTTCTCCCTCATCTCTGTCTGAGCCAGGTGGACTTTCTGGAATTCTGCACCCTCAAGACGCAACCCCTAACTGCCGACACAATTGCGCCCTCTAGTGACCACAGCGGGGACACCTTTGCAGAACTCCTGCATCCCATGGCCCAGCTCCCTTTGCCAGTGCTAATCCCTTGTGCAGCTGTTAACTCCCTGTGGAGAAGGTCTCCAGTGCTTCCAGGTGGCCTGAAGGAGAAACTGAGGCAGCTGCAACTCCCTGCAGGCCCTTCTTCTATATGGAAGGGACTGGGGGTTGAGCAAGAGTGCCGTCTCCCTAGCTCTTAGTTTCCTCCTTTGGGCCTGAAAAGGGTTCTAGAAGTCCTTTCCCTGCTGTCTTTAGTGCTGGGCTGGGCACTTGGCATGGGAAGATCCTGTGGTAGAGAGAATGGTTGGCCAGAGCTTCCCCCCCCACCCACGTCCACACCTCCCCCAACAACAAAGTGGCCACCTAGTCCCCAGACAGAGGTACTGGTAGGAAGCCAGAATGCAGCAAAGCTAGGGTGCTGGTAGGCAGAAAATGGGTACAGTGAACCCTACCCCCAGCTTCCAGGAAGAGGCTAAGCCCCAGGTGCAGACACAGGACAGTATAAACACACAACAGGACACAGAAACAGAATATGGCAGAACCACGTGATACGGAGTAAGGATTAGATACATGTCACACACATCCAAGGCATGGACCACGCAGGGCAGATGTGCAGCACATACACAGTGCAGTACAGACACTGTATCCACACACTTGCTATAAACAGGACTGTACCCCCTGACGTGATACAGACGTGACACCCACAAAATACCATAGATAAGACAAGGCATACACCTGACCAAGTCCAGGTACCCAGATACCATGGGGGTACAAGAAGCAGCACAGATACACCCCCTCAATGTGTACTCACACACGGAATACATCTCCACACTCCCAACAAAACACCCCCCCCCCAGGACAGGAGAGAAGAGTGTGCCCTCCAGGTGGAGTGCTGTGTCCTGCCAGGCTCCGCGCTGGTTCCAGCAGTGCAACTGGTGTATTTGAAGCGGGCTGCTGTGCAGTTCATCAGAGGCTGAGGCAAGGTGGAGGCAGGCCTGCGGAAAGCTCTCAATCTCACACAGGAACCCAGAGGTGCTCAGTTGGTCCAGGCTGGGGCCTCTACTGCCCCCCACCCTGATCTCACCCTCCAGCACTATTCCCCACCCCCATGGGTGCTTGCTGCCATCCCCCACTCGGGGCTCAGGGGACTTTTTGTGGTCGTCCTTCTTGAACCCCCTTCCAGTCTTGCCCCTCTCCGGAGCTTTGGCAGCCATCACTCACGTACCCCCACCCCGCTCCGTTGAAGGATGAGCTCACACAGCCAGGGAGGGAGTGGGTGCACACCACTTAGTGGCCCAGTGGGTGGGATCTGGAAAGGCAGCTGGGAGTATGTGAGTGGGAAGCACTCAGGGAATGCCAGGGCCCCTGAGGGACGCACGGGCTGCTGGGCCCTGGAGTCTCACCAGGAGCAAGTAGCAGACCTGGGGTATGGCTTGGTCTTCTTGTTCATCAAGGGGAAGTTGGGAATCCTGGGGTTCAGTTTTACTAGCTCCACCTTTAGCTGACCCTTCATCTGTGTCTTTGGATTCAGACCTGGTGCATTCCAGCATCTGCTGACGTGTGCTAGCCTGGGTCCTTTGCTTTGATGGGATTTCACATATAGGTGCTGCTTTTCTTAGAGGACAGACACATGGAGCAAAGGTGGGGGCAGGGTAGGAAGGATTGCAGAGGGAATATCCATCACCTTGAGCGGCTCAAACGATTGTGGGGCAAGGTGGAAAAGAGAGGGGTTAAAGATCTTGCCTCCACGGTTGGACATGGAAACCTCTGGGGGGAAGATAGGGTAAATAGTCACCCTGAAAAACCCCAGGATATATTCTCCCTAAGAAATCTGAGAAAGACTGTCGAGGACCTCCCCGTAGTGGAGATTGGGGTGGGGGAGGCCAGAAGGAGGTTCCAGTTAGGATCAGAGGCTGAGGCCTTCAGCGCTGCGAGATGATAGCAAATTAGGGACCCTCCGAGTGCTTCTCCCCACCACCCAGTGAAGGAGGTTGCTGAGAAGGGAAGGAGGTGGGGACCTGTAAGTGAAACAGAAAGCATTGCCAGGTCTTCGGGAAGCTTAGGTGTCCCCAGAGCCAACGTGCATTTGCCATGATCTCTCAGTTTTCTGTCCCACGCTGGGCTGGACCACCACCTGCGAATATGTGGCTCTTTCCCATCTGTTCCATGCGATCTAGTCATCCTGACTCTTGTCCAGGGCGGCTGAGCAGGTCTTCTCCACGAGCTTTCAGGCAGAGCCAGAGTGAGTGGCAAGGTGACAGCAGTTCTCGACCTGAAACTCCCGGTTCAGCGCCCTTTCTGGACTCTGACCTCACAAAGCCCTTTTTATGTTTCTCCCCTCTCTGATTCTCTGCCTCCTCGAGTGGTTTTCTGAAATCCACCATAGCGCGTGTGTGTGAGGTTTGGGGGGGTTGGCTGAGGGAGTAGTAGCGGGTGTAGCAAGAGGTTCCTGCACCCCCACGATGCTTCTCTTGGCAGGTTACCCCCAAGAAAGAACAGCTGGGTCCTTGCATCTTGTGGCAGCTGGCGTGCCCAGCACTGAGTCTGTGGGAGCTGAAGGCAGCCTGGCCCCTTCTCATGGGCAGTGCCTACCTGTGCTGAGGTCCTGCAGCCGTGGCAATAAGAGGTGAGTAATGGGTTCCAGAGCAGGGAGTCAGGGATCTCCAAATCCAGGTGAAGGCCACCTTTCTACCAGAGCTCTCAGTATTAAAGACCCTGCCTGGGCCTTATGAGCCAGGCCTCGGAGCACAGCCCCTTCTTTCTGGGGGACTGTGGCCCATATAGTTGCTCTTGGTCTCTCACTTTGCTCCATCTCTAATACGGGGATGATAGCCATGACCTACATCATGGTGTGAGTAGGACAAGCAACCAAACGGTCATGGCCAAAACCTTTGCAGTTGTCAGGCTCCATGTAAGAACTTCCGTGTAATCACTGACATGCTTCCCTTCAAGCTGGCATTTCCTTTCCTTATGCTTTCTGGATGTCAAAGTGACATTTCAGCCACATGTCCCTGACTGACCAATCAGTCCCTGAAATTTCTCCTCCTCTACAACCTTCATTTGACCTTCCTATTCAAGATGTACCCCCACTCCATCTATCCCAGCTTCCAGGCCTCATGGGTCAGCCTTCGATCATTCTTGCACGATTTCTAGAGTATTCATCTTGGAAGGTAAGCTAGACCATAAATTAGGGGTAGGGACCCGATTTCACAAGTCTCCGTCTCTCTCCCAAGTGCCCCAAATTCCCCAGCAGCATTTCGATTTGGGCCCCTCTCTTCCTCTCCACTTCTTTCAGGTTCCATGGCCATGTCCTTCTTTCCCCTCAGGCAGCCAATAGGGCTTCTGCTGTCAGCTACCCCTCTAGCCTTCTGTTGCCATATGCTGCCGGCCAGCTACCAGTTTGTATCTTACATGCCTCCCTCTCTTTGTCTGCACTTCTGTGTGTTCATCAGTTATCCTGGCACTTCTCATAACATCCAAGGCAAAAGTAAGCAACCAATCAAACTTTTTAATAAAAGCAAGAACAACAAACAAACAAACAACAACCCCCCCCCCAAAAAAAAAACCCACAACCGAAACAAAGAGAAAACAAACAAAGAATACACAGTGTAGTTCCTCTTCCCACCGAGCTCGCCCTGGGCCCGACGGGACAAAGGAAAAGCGCCGCTCAGCGGCAGGTGTTTCAGTGGTGCCTCTTGGTGAAGGGAAAGCTCCAGAGGTTTGGCCGGATCTTGAGGGTGTGAAATTACAGCTGATACTGATGTATTCAGCATCCTAGAGATGCTACGGTAGGGGATCCTCTGCAGACCTTGAGCGACAGAAGGTAGCTAGAACTCACTCAAGTCAGAAGTGAGCCCAGGGGTCTCTCCTGGGTGTTCTGTGACAGTTCCAATAATAACGTGTATTTATTGTCTACGGTTGCCAGCACTGGGGTGGGCATTTTTCTTGCACAAGACTGTTTGATCCCACAGTAACTCTGCAAGGTAGGTATCTTATTCCTACTAGTTAACTGCTTTTGTTTCTGATTATAAAAGTGAGACTAGCTCGAGGTAGGTACTACAATCATGGTTTTGCCATGGTTTTACCAGGAGACCGGGGTTGAGAGGGGCTAAGTAATGTGCTGTATATAACTGGACAGGTGCTGTGGCTTTGGGAGGAAAGATGCTTCCTCGAGAGTTTCTCAGCATCCCAAATGCTTCAGTGTGTGCGCGCGCACACACACACACACACACACTCGGGAGCACACTTGTGTACTCTCGGACCTTCACATAATCCTTATCCCTCCTTCGCTCACACTTTTCCCACTGGACACATTCATGGTGACAGTCACATCCACCCCCTCATCCTCCACGTATTTACAAACATGCTGCATGAGGGCCCACACTCACACGGCCAAACACTGCCATGTAAATTTTTGTATTCATGTTTTTGTAGTGGCACACACTCCACACTTGCCATACAGCCCAGCCTCATGTTCTTACCCACTGACAACTTTACCTCTTCTTACATGCTCACACACTCACTTCTAACCTATATCCACACTGACAGTAGAATCACATTTGACCCTCAAATACCTCTGTGCTCACACACAGTCTACACGCAGACCCACACCAACTTTCCTTTGTCCGCTTCTTATATAACCATAATTACCCTCGATTTTATACATTCTAACACATTTGCATGGTCACGGTTTCCTGCTCACAGTAAAACAATGACACAGCTCATAACTCCTCCTGCGTGTGCAGGGACACACGCACATGCATGCACGTTCCCACCATAAATACACTCTCACCCATTTCAGCTGTTATACCATCTTACAGTCTTACCCTCAGTATTACATGCTCTGGGGCTACTACTTGGCACGGACACAACCTCGCCACCTCCGTCACATTCACACAAAATCACGCTTCGACAAGGAAACACACTCATTTTGACGCCCATTCACATTCATTTGCTCACCTTCATGCTGAGACTTGATCATGCTGTTCCAAACTCACAGGCATGCACCCTCAGATACAGGCACACACACTTCCACTTTCTCTGACACACATCACCCTGCCCTCATACTCAGAGTCCTCACAAAGATGCATTCACACTGACACACACCAACACATCCATCCGCTCGCTCGCATTCAGTACTCATGCTAATTCACGTCAACATACAGTCACACTTACGGCACACCCCTGCCTCGATACTGATGTTTGCACATTTTCATGGTCTTCCATACTCTCATGTTCACAGCCATGCACACTGAATTCTACACCATCACACTCTGTCACGCTCATGTGCTTTCACGTGTACACCCTCTCCCACTACCATTTCCGCATCACACACATTCACACCGGCAAGTTCCCCACAAGATCACATTCTTGCCCATTCTCGCTCTTGCCCTCTCATATTGGCATACCCTCACACTGCCACACACATTCCCTCCAGTACACATGTGGGGACCTGCACAGTCAGCGACCTGCATTTACGCTGGCACACCCGCTCCAACCCACACAATCTACATGGTTACCCTCAGTTCCTGTAAATGTGTTTGCACACTCACACACGGACTGCTGCTGATGCTGTGGATGGCCACGCAGACTCACACTCACTCACTCTTAGTCCCCCTACAGCATTCCCCCTGACGTGGATATACTTGCTCACATTGGCCCACATAGCCACACAGTCACTGAAGCATAAATGCATCGCCTCTAGCTCAGCGAACTCGCCTGAACGGTCACGGGCTCTTCTGGGGACTCTCACGCGGATGCATTGAGGCTGACACCTACTCACATGGACATGGACTTATACCCCCTCCCTGGAATGATCTCACTCACCCACATCTGCAACTCACACATGGTTTACAGTGACCCCACCCTCAGGCACACGCCCCACATCCCCAAACATACACATGGCCCTATATGGATATTGCCACAGCCATGTACTTTTTCACTGACACACACACCGTCACACACCCCACTGTGGGGAGTTCATAGTCACAGTTGTCACTTTTTTTAATCCTCCCCCACTGCTTGCAACTAGTGCTCTCCTCACCCCTGCTGGAAGGTTTTTCAGCAACCTGTGGCTGACGGAAAAGTATTGGTCTCAGCCAGGTCACCCATGGGACCAGATATTTCCAGAGCAGAAAGGAGTACAATTTATGTCTAGGATTAAAAAGAGAAAGCTCAAACCCACAGATCAACTCTTACGTCCTTTCGCCATAATTTTATTTTACATAAGTCATCCCTAATAGATCTTAGCTGGTCTACCCAAAAGGGGTTGGGGTTTAGATGGTTTATTTTCTGGAAGTTTACAGCCTAACTTGCCACTTCCTTTCTTTCCCAAGGGTTGGGGGGCAAGGTAATGCATGTGTTTCTTTATGCACTCACACTGGTTCCCTAGGCAAAAGTGTAGGTCTCTGATTTTATGTTTCTGATCTGGAATTCTCTACTCTTTCCGGTAGGCACTTCTAACCTAGCAAGGTCTACTTTTCCCCTGTTAGCCCTGGAACATGGTATTCAAGTTTCTGTATGTGCACACATAGACCCCACTGGAATTTCAACAGCTGCTACTGACAAGTTAACAGAGGAAATTTCTCAGTAGGCGTGGATAAAGGCAAGCTGAAGAAACTTCCTTGTGTTCCAGACAGACTGTAGATTTCCCTGCAAGAGGGTAAAAAGAAGTGCAAATCCCAGGAGTGAACCAACCAGTAAATCGGGGGGCATGGTGCCAGAATCCTGTGCCATCCCAATTCCTGACGAGAGATTTAGAAACATGAAAGCACCTTCTAGGGACCTCCTTAATTTGTGGCTTCCCCTACTGGAATCTCTCTGGAGGAAAGATGAGGGCAAACTAGGCCCAAGCTGCCCTTTGATAATGAACTCTAGCACCATGGGGAAAAGCCTGTACTCTGAAATACCACACATTACCCTCTACGCCTGCGATTAGACTGAGGCCTTCTTGGAAAGCAGAGACCACATCATCTAACTTATTTTGGATTCCCACGGTCTAGTGTGATGCCAGGTCCAGAGCAGCTACTTGTGAAACTCCAGTAAGAAACTGAAAGACGTGGGTGGACAGCAATGTGTCAGGACAGATCCAATGCCTGTCTTCCTCAATCCCAGAATTCCAATGACATTACCCAGTGTAGATTGAGGATTTCCTAGGGGCCCTATCAAGTGCTAGACCCAGAAAGAGATTCAGATGGAGGAAAGAAACATACCCTGCCCTTGAGGTACCATCATTCCAGTGGGAAAGATAATCGCACCATGCAACAGTAGCACAAGTTAACAGTCTTGAAGCTTGGGATTGGGGCATTCGTTATCAGCCAGTGGTCTTCAGGCTCCCAAGGCCTTGAGAGCGCATGGGTGGTTGGGAACAGCAGCCAGGATGTGGGGTAGTCATTTCCCAAAGCAAACCTCTTTGTAGACCTCTTGCCTAGCCCCAAGATGTGCCATCTTTCCAGAAGATGGTGTAGCAGAGCCCTTTGTCAACTATGCCTAAGGTAGAGGAAGGAAAGTGAGCTATAGACCTCAATGGAAATTTTATACTGAGTTAAAATTTAGCCACCACCTCCTCCAAGAGATGGCTTTAGAGAAATAGCCTGGCAAATTTACATTTGACCATTTCTGTGGATA